AGGTCCTAAGAAGGAGAGGGTCATCCCCTCTGCTTATTGTCTTGTTTACTTGCATTTTTGGCCTTACAAAGGAACCCATCTTTGCATGCATCCCAAGCTTGGTTCAGGCCCTTTTTGGTGAGTTTTAGAACCTGCATAAGCTCTGTTCAGAGCTAGTTTTGCCATATTAGATGTCCTTCTTGCATGTGTAGAACAACTTCTTTCATGGCCTTTCAAAGGAGCACCTCATTCTTGCATGCATTAGACACATTTTCAGTGGGTATTTGGTCATATTTTGGCATACCATGAATCTGTTTTTAGCTGGTTTGGTGGTTCCTCATATGCTCCATATGCTTGTAGTGTAAACCATGCTTACTAGCTTACATTGCATGTTATTTTGGCCCTCCATTTTAGCATATTTTGGCCATGCCTTAAACTGATTTTGTGTATGTTTTGGACTGCCTTAGCTCTGTTTTTGTGTCCCATGGTCGAATGGTACTTGCCATGTATGTTTGTAGTGTAATAGTCATGCCTAGTCTTGAGTTTTGAAGCCTATTGCATGCTTATATTGAGGTGTTTGCATGTTTTGGCATTATTGGGTATGATATTTCAGAGCTTATACTTGTGCCATACTCCCATGTTTTCCTTGCTTTAAGTGCTATTGAGAGTTGTTCTTGTATGCCATGTTACAATGCGTTGTGCATGTTATGTTGTTAGTATTGTGTATGCCATGTCACTCATTGCATTGTGTATGCTAGGTGGTTAGTTGCATTGAGCATGCCGTAGTTCATATAGCATTGTGTGTGCCATATAGTCCATAGCATTGTGTATGCTAGGTTGCATGTTTGCATATTTAGGTTGTATGCCTATTGCATATTGCTTGCTAGCATACTCATTTTGCATTAGTTTGTTTGCATGCTTAGGTTACATAGTATTGAGCATGCATCCCTTACCTCTTAATCAATCATGATAGAGGTTGGGGCCCTTTATGTGTTTTGTGCATTTCATTCCATATTGAATTACACACTTGACTCTTTGGCCATCATGCATAAAAATGCGTGATTGGTGGCCCAAGAGTCGAGTACCATACTCCCTTGAGTCTTAAACATGATAGGAAGGATGGTTGTGCATACATTGCTTTGAAATGTATTGCCATGCTCTGTTTGCCCTTTGCTGCTGTCAAATAGAATTCCGCAGGAAGAGATGGCAGGTCGGCCATCTTCAGTGCCGGTCGGCTATCAATTGTTGGCCGAGAGCCTCACAACTGGTCGATGACCACTTTTCATGGCTGGTGACCATTCCTCTTGGTCGGTGACCTCCCATAGTGTTCAGGGAGTGTTCCAGAACCGACCTTGGGACTCATGCAATTTTCAGAGGCATAAAGCAGTACAAACAGAGGCAACTGTGGCATGGAGATGGATTTCTGAGCGGAGCTGAGCATGCATACATTCATCCCTCTTCCCGAGCCTATTTTACTGCTTTCAGTAGCTTAATTAATTTGTCAATTAGTTAGGTGGTTTTGTAATTAATTAATTAGCTTGCTAGTTGATTAATTTGTATTATTCATTCGGTCCCTCCGGTAGAGAGCAAATTATGCTAGGTTGCATGTTTGCATATTTAGGTTGTATGCCTATTGCATATTGCTTGCTAGCATACTCATTTTGCATTAGTTTGTTTGCATGCTTAGGTTGCATAGTATTGAGCATGCATCCCTTACCTCTTGATCAATCATGATAGAGGTTGGGGCCCTTTATGTATTTTGTGCATTTCATTCCATATTGAATTACACACTTGACTCTTTGGCCATCATGCATAAAAATGCGTGATTGGTGGCCCGAGAGTCGAGTACCATACTCCCTTGAGTCTTAAACATGATAGGAAGGATGGTTGTGCATACATTGCTTTGAAAATGTATTGCCATGCTCTGTTTGCCCTTTGCTGCTGTCAAATAGAATTTTGCAATAAGAGATGGCCGGTCGGCCATCTTCAGTGCGGACCGGCTATCCATTGTTGGCCGGGAGTCTCACAACTGGTCGATGACCACTTTTCCATGGCCGGTGACCATTCCTCTTGGCCGGTGACCTCCCATAGTGTTCAGGGAGTGTTCCAGAACCGACCTTGGGACTCATGCAATTTTTAGAGGCATAAAGCAGTACAAACAGAGGCAACTGTGGCATGGCGATGGATTTCCAAGCAGAGCTGAGCATGCATACATTCATCCCTCTTCCTGAGGCTATTTTACTGCTTTCAGTAGCTTAATTAATTTGTCAATTAGTTAGGTGGTTTTGTAATTAATTAATTAGCTTGTTAGTTGATTAATTTGTATTATTCATTCGGTCTTTCCGAGAGAGGGCAAATTATGTAATAAGCGTGCATGTGTGTGATGCATGTCTTCCAACCCCCACTTCTTTCTCCCTTTTATTTACTAGCTTATGATGGTTAGTTTAGGACATGTTTCAATTAGCATACTTATGCTCGCATGCTTGTATTCATTCATCTGTCTTGCATGCACCAGGCTCGGCGCATCATGCTAACTGCATTGTATTTCAATTCCAAATTGAATACATGTTATCTGTTACATCTCATATGCCATCTTAGAGTAGCTGAGCCTATCTTAAGTTACATTTTTGCATGTGTTGCATTAGGCATATCAGCATATTTAGGATTCATGCATGATTTCTAATTAGCTTCTCTTTTGGCTTGGAGTACTCGGTAAGCTTTTATGTTTTAGCATCTTTGTATGTGTGTAAGTGACTGCCATGATAGCATGCTTACCATGAGGCTATGTGCTTACGTGATATAACTACCTGAATGCCTGTGGGTGAAGGTTGGGTTGCTTGAGTTGGAATAATTCGTCGAAACCCATATTTTAGCCTACTTGCGAGTAGTAAACTTCAATCCATTTTTCAAAACAAACGGATATACGATACTTTGTTCCAACTTAAGCAATCCAGTCTATACTTGTTTTGCTGTGAGCATCACATAGTAATTCTAGGCTAATAAACCGGAATGAGAGCACATGTGTTTTCAAAAATTTGATATCATGGTTAGTAGAGGCCGATCTTTGATTGGGCGAGCGGGGGTGCTCACGAAGTGACCTTCCCCAATCGTACCCAAGTTCCTAAGCCGAAGTGTTTGCACCCTAATGCATGAGAAATGGTAGTCAGGGTTTCCTAAATTCTCCCAAAATAAAATATTTAGGTGGCGACTCTGTATCTGGCAAAGCAGTCCATGTTTGACACTTCTTTCTAAAAAATCAGTTTTTCAAAACGATTTGCCGGATTTGGACTCTTTGATGATTCATCGGTCTTGCATTGCACTCTGCGAGATTAGATACATGACCGTGACAATTGAGTCCGAACTGTAGTAAGCCCAAATGAACAAAATGGAATTCCCTCCCGAGGCGTTCGGGGACGTCTACACTGGGCTGCAGCCACCTATGCCCAGCCCTAGGTCCGCCCTTGATGGTGACACAAATTGCAAAATTAAGAACAACCCAACAGCAAACAATTCACATTGATGGAAAAAAATAAATTGAGAGCTTATTTGAGAATTGATTTTTTCAATAAGTTTTAACTTTTTATAAAAAAAAGTGTGTAAAAATATAGAGAGAATAACATGACAACTTATAATAACTTTTTAACTAAAAACTAATCTTCTCAAACATAGCCTAATACATGAATCTCGCCTATTCATTTGACCAATCCAAAACGGGCTGCACAATCATGAAAAAATTGCTCACAATCTAATTCACATATAATTACAAATTTGTATCAAAAAAATAGATAAAAAAATTATGAAAATAATTAAAAATAAGAAAAATACTTACAGAAATAGGAGTTACTAGATTACAAGTATTTTCCTATGAAGTACCACAAATGTGGGTGTTGATTTCTGACCATACAACCAAACGGGAAACTCAGCTGGGGAGCACCGGTAGAATAGATTAAACTCGAATAATCTGTCACAGAAAGATAAGAATCCAACGGTGGTTCGTCCACCCGGAGTAGCGAATTGTGCTTAAATTCACAAAAAATAACTTACTGCTCATAGTATCTCACACATACCTGAGATCCACGGGGTGTCCTGCTTTTATAGCCAATACTAACCTGATCTTATAGAAGTCTCATTTCAATAGACTCAAGTTCAATGCTAAAAGTTTTATCTTTATCCAAACTGAGATCATCTCATATTCGAGAACTCTTGTTCCTTATCTGCTTATCTCGGATTTCGGTCTCCGTAAATAACCTCGGCCTAGCCGAGATCACTTCGACATCAGGACCAACCCACGTGGCACCTCAATTGATACTTCGACGCCACTTTGGTCACGTATGGTCATTCACAAAATGTGTCCTCACAACAAATAAATTTTTCAAACAAGACTTTTTAATATTTTTTTTAGAATAATGATTTGTAGCTCGAATTTTTCCTCCCTAATCCCCCGAATGCCCAAAACGACGTCATTTTGGGCATTTTTTTTTTTCTTCTTCTTCTTGCAGGTCTGAAACAGAGGGAGAGGAGAAGGAGAGGGAGAGGGAGAGGGAGAGGAGAAGGAGAGAGAGAAAGAGAGAGTGCGAGAGAGAGTGAGAGAGAGAGAGGAGACAGGTCGTCGTCGCAGCACCCTCTGCCCGACTTCGCAGCCCTCCGCCGTCGCCTCTGCCCATCGTCGCAGCCCCGTCTCCGCCGATCGTCGTCGTAGCCTCTACCTCGCAGCCCCCGCCTCTAACCCAATTTGTTGGCCCCCTCCAGTCCCTCCTCCTCCTCCTCCTTCTCCTCCTCCTTCTTCCTTCTGATTTTCTTCTTCTTCTTCTGAAAAAAAAAATAAAATTGAAAACATCGAAAACGACATCATTTTTGTTCTGGGGGAATTCAGAAAAGCCCTTTCGAGTTACGTAGTTTTTTTTAATGTTTTAAACAAATTTTATACTAAAATATTCGAGAACAAAATAAGGCGAAAAAGAAAGAAATTGATTCGTGCGTGATGATGATAACAAAGATAGATCACGTTGTAATAATGAGACGAAAACAGCCAAAGCATCGCTTTCGAACAGAATCACTGCTGCACTTTTTGTCTCTTTTTCTCAACGATCCCAACAGTCCAATCTCTCTCTCTCTCGCTCTCTCTCTCTAGGGTTGTGCAAATGTGAAAATCGAGTCCTCGAAAACTCTCTGCAAATCCCAATTCTAGTTCGAAGATGGCGACTTCAGCTTTCAAGTCCACCTCCAGAAGAGGAAACACCACAACTAGCAGCACCAGTAGCTCCCGCAATTCCCCCAAGAAAGCCCCAATTCGAAGATCCCTCAGCGTCAGCGCTCTCTCCAGAACTCACGATCATCTTCAATCCGACATCACTTCCGAGTTCTTGAACAAACGAGACAATCCTCTCTTCTGGAGCTGCTCTGGTCCACCGGACAAGGAAATCGAGCCCCAAGATGTGCGCAAGGTCAGTGCCACTGTTTTGACTGGTTCTGTCGATGGGCAGAGAGAGAGAGGCCGATCGGTGACCAGGAATTCGAGCAAGAAAGTTGGAGAGGGAGGGAGGAAGCCGGTGGGTGTGGGTGGTGGTCGGAGTTTGTCCAAGGTGGATACAGGGCGGCGCGGCAGGTCTGTCTCCACGGGCCATTACGCTGCTTCTGAGGTTCTCTCTCTTTTGGGGGATTAATTTCACTTTTAACATCCAATTTTTATGTAAATTTCATTTGGATTTTGTTTTGCTTACTTTCTCACCCTTCAATTGTTACAATTAAATCTTTTTGACTTTAACCCCAAGTTTCAATGTAATTGTTTTGTCACCCAATGTTGAAAATTTAAGTAAAAATTGAAACATGAAGGTACACAATGAATTTGGGTGAAAATTTGGACCTGAGAAATATAATTAAAAATAAATTATTTAATGTCCTATGAGCATTTTTGTCCTTTTTTTTTTTGAATGGTGAGTGGCATAAGAACTATATTGAAACTCGGGTTGAAGCTACTTAGTTGTTGTTACAATTAGAAGATGAGAAGTTAAATTTGAATGAAAGTTGGAGGATAAAAATTGTATTTTACCTTTCTGTTTTTGGTTGGTGAAATTTGAGTTTGTAATTTCTTTTTGTTGGGTTTTGATTATAGAGTGAAGTGGAACAAGACTCTGTTGTATCCAGCTATCGTAACAAAAGTAGTTCGACTGTAGCTGCCAATGGATTAAAGAAAGCTAATTTAGGTAGAAATGTAGCTGATATGCGAATAAAATATACTGAGCATCCAGTTGTCGAGCCTTCACATAATTCTAATGTGAGTTCAGTAGAAATATATGTAGAGTTTGTTTTTGATTTGGGGCAATGTTGTACTCTGTGTGGTGATGTCAATTAACCAGTTTCTAATGTGCACCTTTTTAGTCTAATTCACAAACACCAAATTGGGAAGATGGAATCTCAACGGGTTCTTTTTTGGAAGCTGAAGAGAAGACAATTAAAGCAGTATGTGAACAAATGAAGGTGAGGCGCATGTTTTTTTCTGACCCCAAGATTTGGATGTATAACAACATCAAACTCTAGTTCTGGTTACTAGAAGTTGGAAACTAGAAGTTGCTTTTAAAGACAATTAAAATGTTTCTCTTTAGATGATCAAACCTGGGGTACCTGGCAATGCAGTGTTAGTTTCTACTTTGTTTTGCAGTCATTCCAGGGAGATATTATGGGAGGAGGTGACACCACTGCAAGTGGAATATATGAAACTGTTCGATCCGAAGTAAGACGAGCCATCTCAGATATCCAAAATGACCTCGAAAGTGTAAGTTCAAATGGTGCATCTTCTACATCTCTATGGGGGATCATTCATACAAGTTTGTTGCTAGGAGTCTCTCTAGGCGAGTCAATAAGTCCACTTTGATTGCTTTCTTTTTTCTCTGACCTGCAATAAATTATGAACCATGAACTAATAGTCTATACAAACTTCACATACATAATATATCTACATATATTTATTCGTGTAAAGTTCATTCCCACAACATGACATGGATAGAAGTAAATTGGAATTTTCTATTAATTTGTGCGTACTAAAGAAGATTAGCTTTGTTCCATTCAATCAAGTTGGTTATGTGAAGAAAGACATGCAAACATATGTGGAGATAAATAAGATAAAAATATTTCTATAAAGTCACTGCTTACACTCTCAATCTTGGTTGTATTTTGGTAATTCAGGGGGAGCATGATAACTGAGACAGATTTGATGTGCGTCAATTATTTTGTTGGCGTTTGGTTGTCTGTTACATGTTTGTTCATTACTTATATCGCTGTCTTGTGTGTGGCTAATTTGTGTTTATATTTAAATTTTTTGGTTCTTATAACTAAAGGCTATCCAAAGGAACAATGGCACTGCAATTGCAACTACAAATATTGCTGATATTGCTCCAGATTTGGTTAACCCTGGGGCTATTGAACTAGTCTTGGACATCAGAAGGGAATATGCCAGAAAGCTTGAGGAGGTTATACCCTTTCTCTATAATTTTAGTTGGGATATGATTGAATAGAGTTCGATTGTCATGCCAAGATATGGCTTGGGTAACAATTTTAGTTGATTTCTGTATAGCCTGACACTGAGACATTTGTCTCTAATGTACATAATGACGTGCCAAATTTTATGTGCAATAATTATTTTGACTCAATTTCATATGTTCTTTGGTTCTTAGAGATTCATGGGAGCAAAATAAATTTATCTTTTTTTGTTAGCATCGTCTTGATGCTTTTTTTTTTTTTAATAAATAAAGTTATTCTTATTTATCAAAAAAAGAAAATTCTCTTTTGGGAGGCAATAGATGATATACTGTTCTGCTTCATGGTTTTTTGGATGTAACTTAATGCTGTTGTTATTATATGGCAGTCTGGGGAAAGGGCTAGAAAACTTCGAGCAGACCTGACTGTCGAGGAGCATCGTGGAGAGGAGTTGAGTAGAATCCTCAAGGAGCTACTTCCAGATCCAAAGACAATTAATATGCAGAAATCTCGTCCAGGAAGAAAAGTAAGCCTACTTCTTTTAGTTGAAATTCCTCTACGCATCAAATTAATTTTCCATGGAAAGCACGTGGATGAATTCACCTTTACAACAATGCATGTGTTATGATCCCACATCAGTTAACATAGGTTGTGGCCATGTACATATAAGCCTCTTGGGCACCCTCCCCTTGCAAGCCAGTTTGCAATGGTGAGTTCTACCCAAGGGGTTTGTATAATTTGGTATTAGAGCCAACCACCACGTCGATATGGGTTGGACACACCTATGCGAGTATGGGATCAGATGGGTGTGGCTTTGCTGTTTGAGCCTCGGAGGGGTGACCTATATAGGCTGGATTAAGACATCTAAAAAGGTGTCGAATACTGACAGTTGAGTGAAGCCCCAAGAAGGGAAAGAGGTCCACTGGGTCAGTGTCGATAGACTGGCCGCTATGGATATCGGTTGCGGCGCGTAGTGGTATGTTATGATCATTGATCCCACATTAGTTAACATTGATCCCTCCCCTTGCAAGCCGGTTTCCATGGGTGAGTTCGACCCAAGGGGTTTGTATCAGCATGAGCATGAAAATATAGTGGTTCCTGTAAGTGGCATTCATGCTGTAAGCTAAAGATTAGCTAGCACCAGCCTGTTGATATTTTGGATGAATCGCACTTAAAGTGGAGGTCCAAGATCATAGGCTATGTAGAAATAAGTTGAGTTATGCTTTTCTTTTATCCAAGAAAATGTGTGCATGGCCCTATGCCTCCTCTATATATGACTCCATGCCGTCGACAAATTGGCACATCTCATTGCAAGACAGGGATAGTGGATTTCCTTCATATTTGGGTATGTGGAAGTTTTTAAAATATATTGCCTCTGGTTGCCTTCTTAATAAACCGTATTTGTGTGTGTGTGAGAGAGAGAGAGAGAGAGAATTTTAGTTTATTTGTCTACACCAAGCAGAGCCAGCAATAGTGCAATCTGAACTAAGGTGAGTTTTTTATGTTAACTCACCTTTTAGGGTTGCAACCATCAATTTCTGATTCTAGTCTACATTATTTTTTTTCTTCTTTTCTTCTACTTTATTGTTTTTCTTGGGTGATTATTCAAGAGCCATGTTATTTACTCCATAAAAAAAATCCTGTTGTCCATTGGTGCAACAGTTTACATCTATTTGTGCAAACATTGCAAGGTTTATTATGTAGCTGGCATGGAGTCAGATATCTCTTTTTTTGGCTTACAGTTAGGAAATTTATGGTTTCTCTCTTCCTTTTTGTTTTCTTCTTCTTTTTCTTTTTTTTTGGTTCTTGTTTCTCAATCGATTTATCATTATGTGATGACAGAGTAGCAGTGAAAGAAAAAAGATGTCAAGACGGCTTACAGAAGAAGCCATGGCTTATTTTGATGAGTGTGTGTCCATCTCCACATTTGATAGTTCTGATTTCTCAGCACCAGAAGATCCACCTCTCAACTTGATTGGAGCCACTACACCAGTGGGTGGGACTGCATCTTTAGCCCAAGTAAGCCCCAGCTTATCAACCTCCTATTGCCCTAACAGTTTCTTGAACCATAACCAGGTTCATCTCCTTATTATTTCCATTTATTCCAACATTTTAAATCATTCAGATTAGTTTGGGATGAGATACGCTGTAATTTTTCTCATTTAGCTCTCCCACAAGGGTGTACTGTCTAATAAATAATGGGACATTGTGTTTTTTTGGTACAGCTTTGACACAATTAATTTGGTCAGTCATTGGCCTCTGTCAGACATGACCGATGTGTCTTAGCGGATTTTAATTCATCTTATCCTTTACTTTGTACTATATGTGATGGGAGAGGCAAAATGATCGATGCTGACATAATATGAGCTCTTATGGACTACTAAGTACTAGCTCTGATAGGATTAAGATTCCAATTTTAGAAACTTGAGACATTTGGCTTCTAAAACGCATCTAACCAGTGAAAAAGACATGCAGACAACCCCAATAATATAAGTTGACGGTAGTATGACTCATGGGCAACCATGAAACCCCATGTCTAGGATACCCTGAAAATGGAACAATACTTAAGCTACAAAACATGAGGAATCGTATAGAAAACTAATTGAAATTATGCCTGACCTTAATAATCATAAGATGATACTACTTAGTCTAAAAAGTTAACTATGCATGGTTTCGATGGCCCTACATTGAAATTGAAATCATATCTGATTACCAATTTTAGCTTGTGCTTTATATTTACTCTTCATTGTACCTTGTATAGATGCATTAGTAACACTTGAGCTAATGGTATAAAACAATTTAGGGATTTTAAGTCCTTCCTTGATCACAAGTCCAATAAGATGGTTTGCATATTCATCTAAAAAATGATGATGAAGCTAAATTTTAAGTGTGAAGCTATGAGTATTTATCCGAATATATATTTATGCGGTTGTGATTTTTTAGCAAAAGTGTTGACCTTGAATGATTTACACAATAAACTACTCAATCCTCATAATAAGAGGCCTGGGTCCACACCCACACCCACACCCACACCCACACCCATGTGATGTGGGGCCCACCCCTCTTTGTGAGAGGATGGTAATTTAGGGTGGTGCCTATAGAAGAACTGTTTTTTTAATTGGCAAAGGTGGTCATAAATTTATCCATATATTCAACCAAACATTGATGTAAATTTGGAATTCTTATATAAAGATATTCTTGCTTGCAGGAGTCAGGTGGTCACGGTCAGCTCATACATAGCAATACGAATTCCAGTTTTACCACTAGCAGCGGTAGTAACGAGATTAATCAAGCCAGTCTAAGAGGTAATAATGCTGAATCGGGTAGGAAACTACAATTCTCCTTCAGTCGGAAACCAACTGAAAGTGTTGGGCTCCAACAGGACATTAGGAATTACATTAAGAAAAATGAAAAAGAATTTGAAAAAGATGACATCGACTCAGAGAATTTTAGATCAAATTACTATGATTTAGATGAGTACAATTTACAAGGCCGGGGAGAAAGCTTGTTATTTGACAGGGTATTATTTAAGAACAGAATAGAGTCCGGGTGTTTGCATCTCTGTGACGGAGGTTTGTCAATTTCACTTTCTTCTTTGGGTTTGTTTACTTGAATCTGAAACATTGTGATGATCTTGGGAATTCCCAAGTTGTATGTAAAGTGTGAGAGTACGTTTGTTTGGATAATTTGTATGTTGCTCATACTATTCTCATCTCCAAGTTTCATATGATTTGAGGAAGTTGTAATGAATGTGGAAATAGAAATTGGATTGGATCAGTTGAGTGATGATAATATTATATTCCTGGTCTATGCTGCCTTTTCAATCGACGATAATATTAGAGAGATTAGGGTTTGGAGATGGTGGGGGAGGGGAGGGGAAGAGAGGAAAAGCAGGGAAGAGAGCAAGGGACTGAAGGTGAAATTAGTATAACCATGTTTAAATATTTATTTATTTATTTATTTTTTCATGCATGGTGCAATTATTTTTTATTTTCACCGTTTTTGCGATTATCTCTTCTTTCTATTTATCTGCAATTTTCTTGAAGTTAAAAAAATTATGAATTAATTGTGATCATGCAAACAAGACCTGTAAGGGCTCACACAATAAATATGTGTTTGTTGGTTGCTAAGCACAAATAGGATGAAATATATGACAGATGTACCATTTTTGGAAACTTTAACCAAACAAGTTCTGTGTTACTCATCAATCACACGACCCTTATTTTTGTTACAACATGAGTTCTGCTTGTGCATAACATTTAAGTGGTGTCAAATGGTTACTTTTTTTTTTCTTTTTTCTTTTTTTTATATATATTTTAAATGGTTACTTTTTTTAAAAAAAATAATTAAATTTTGTAACTTTCATTTTACACATGTTTTTGCTGAAATCTATATTTTGAAACCTACTTGAGAAAATCTATCAAATAAAATTCATATTCTATATGAAATTTAATAAAAAAAAAATTGTGTGAAATTTCACAACACTAAAAAAAAGTTATTATTTATGCTGTGTTTGGTTGGGAAATTTGAGAAGGGATTTGGAAAAATAAAAGAAAAAATGTATGTGAAATGTAAATATATTTGATTCACATGTCAATTATTTTTTTCTTTTTTTTTTAAATTTCTCAACCACTGCGTTAAAGATTGAGAAAATTATCAAATTTAGAAAATTCATCAATGCAAAACTCGAAAGCTTTTCAATTTTTTGTAAAAGATAAAAGTCATAAGGATGCAGTTTTAATTATAGTAGCAATAACATTGGATTCTAACTCTTTATGACGGACTGTTTTTTCTAATTAGGCTACAGAGTGGTTGAATCATAATTTTTTTGACGTAGGGGTTGAAATTTTTTCTTAAGAAAATTTAAAATAATCCACCAAATGAAATTTTTGTAATTTACGTTGCATGAACTAGCGCTGTTTGCCGTTTGGTTGCGATTAGAAAATCTTTAATCTGTCATCCGTCTGTTAAATGGGCAGATTGAAAAAAATAATCCAAATCTGTCTGCCGAATTGACGGATACGAATTAAACGGATTAGCAAATTGACAAATTTATGAGAATCGGTTTGGTAGTTTAATTTTTTATAAATTATGAACATAATATAACAATTTTGTCAACATTCTTTTTTATAATAATCTAACTCAACATAACCAAAAGATTATTAAGTAAATTGTCAAATACCAATAATAAATACATATAAGAAAATCATGCATTATCAAAACTATTTCATTACTTTTTTTTATTCAAAAACTACTTAATTTGATTTTTTTTTAAAATGACAAAATTAAGCCCTATATTTTCCATACAAAAATACTAATGGTTGGTTTGAGATGTTCTAAATAAATGTACTTTTTGACTTTTTATAAAAAATGTGTAAAAAAATAGAGATGAGATATTGATTGATGTGACCCAAAAAAGATAAAAAGATAAAAAAATTGACTAAAATAGATTATGCCAAACAAGGCTTAAATATCAATATTTGCCATTTAATAAGAAGATTTCCAAATTGAAAACACAACAGAATATTTGAACTATTTTTCAATTGAAAACACAAACAAAATATCTAAACAAATTGAAAATACAAAATCTTACAAATTACTAGGGGTGTTCGCGGTTTGGCGGTTCGGTTGTAACCAAATGAACCTCAATTCTGTCATCTGTTCAAAATTAGGTAGATTGAAAAAAAATTAATCTGCAACCGTCCGCTCCCCATCATGCATCATCCAAAATGTGGCGAATCGGATCAATTCGAACAACTTGAATAGATCGGAATATCCGCTGCTTACCCCTAACGAGAACAACCACATCCGCATTTCTAAATTCAAAAGGTAAAAAACATGTTCTAAACTTATATGTATTTTATAAAATAAACATAAATTATGAATACATTTCTTGATTTGTTCAAAATATAAATTGTTTCTTATGATTTAAAAAAGAGTACTGCTATTAGCATCCCATTAATTATTTTTGACCCCTATTTCTTTGAATTCCCACTTATAAATTCTAAAACCCTTAAAATTTATTTTCTTCCCCCAAATAATATCAAAATTGTCATTGTGAAAATATTCCACTAATTTAATTGAATGCACGCCTACACATCCCAAAAAGGCTCTCCCCCAAAAACCCTAATAAAATCCACGAAGGTGATTAATATTTCATCTCAACATACTCGTTCATGACTTGATAAAATAAATGTTCGGTTACCTGTTCCTAAACAAAAAAATAATGTTTGCCCTTGTGTTCCCAAATTTATGTCATATGTTCGGGAGTTCAGTCCTTAAAAAATGACGAACAATTTTTATTATTTTTGCCATTTTTTTTCAAGAAAATTACCCCTTATAAGGCCAATCTCTTTTGAGCTAAGAGTACTATCAATGCTATGAACCTTTTCTGAACTTTTATCATTGTACTTATCTCGTCTTATGGAATTGTGGTTGTCGAAAAAACTTTCACTCATTGTCATTGTAGGAGAAGTGTAGGTAATTGAATGGTTGTCACCATTATTGCTGGAATATTGCCGTCAAAGAACTTTTAAGGTTTTGAAAGTGAAATTTAGAAAAAGATGGATGCGTGGTGATAGAAGTGGGAGCTCTCATAAACCCTAACTCATGATGTAGCGGGTGTGTGGGCTTAATTGTGAGATGGGGTGTTCCAAAATTATCAATGTCCTTTTTGGTAATTTCATTTAAGATTATTATTGTAATAAAAAAAAGTTAAAAAAATAGGATAAAAAATAATTGATGGGGTGCTAATAGCAAAATAAGAGTACTATCAATGCTATGAACCTTTTCTGAACTTTTATCATTGTACTCATCTCGTCTTATGGAATTGTAGTTGTCGAAAAAACTTTCACTCATTGTCATTGTAGGAGAAGTGTAGGTAATTGAATGGTTGTCACCATTATTGCTGGAATATTGCCGTCAAAGAACTTTTAAGGTTTTGAAAGTGAAATTTAGAAAAAGATGGATGCGTGGTGATAGAAGTGGGAGCTCTCATAAACCCTAACTCATGATGTAGCGGGTGTGTGGGCTTAATTGTGAGATGGGGTGTTCCAAAATTATCAATGTCCTTTTTGGTAATTTCATTTAAGATTATTATTGTAATAAAAAAAAGTTAAAAAAATAGGATAAAAAATAATTGATGGGGTGCTAATAGCAAAATTATAAATACTCATTTGTCATCATTTTAATTTAATAAAATTAATTTAAAAAATAAATTTTCTAACTACTTTCATATACAATAATAAAATTTCCTGAATTATAAATTGAAATAAATCTATGATATAATTAAAAGTTGTTAATTTGATAATTTATTAATAAAATAAGTTATTTGTCATGAAATTAGAAACTCTAGAAGATGAGATGTAATTTTCAAAATTATAGTGAATAATTCGTATTTTAAATAAATTTCAACAAGTGTATTTGTAATTTATTCTAAAATAAAATACAAAATTTTCATTATTAAAAGTATTTACTAAAGTTTTGTTTGGAATAAATTTTTTTAGTTTAGTTTTTTAGCTATTTAGTTATTTGAACCTGACTAAAAAAGTTATGTTTGAGAGAACTTTTGATTTTATTTTTATTTTTTTGTAGTTAAATTGATGGTTATGGAAGAAAAAATTTGAATGTAATATCTTATTTTATTAATTATTATATTTTTTTTTGGCCATTACCGACTAATGGAAGAAAAAATTTGAATGTAATATCTTATTTTATTAATTATTATATTTTTTTTTGGCCATTACCGACTAAAATAGCCCAAAAATCCCATCATAACGAACGTAAAAAAAAATAAAAATGATTAATTCATCAAATTTGATCTCGCTTGACTTTATAATTTTTTGCATGACCGACGTTATCTTTACCAATCGTTATTATCACCCTTATTAACGAGAAATTATTCAATACTCCCGGAACACCACGTGTCCATACTCCAAACCAATCACCAATTAGTTAGCCCCATGTTGTCCCTCCATCTCCAACATAAATTGTGAGCCCTTGTGTCTCTCCACCAATCAAAATATCATGAAACACCACGTGTCTATACTCCCGAATTACTGCATAATCACCCCTTATTAACCTGTGGGTTAATCAACATCTGTCCAAATGATCCTGACTATATACAACCGACATGTATAAATTATAGCAATGCGGCCCAACCCAAATTCAGTGAAACTAGCATCACGGAGAGAGGTGAAATTGTCAGAAACCGAAAATATTACCGAAAAAATTACAAAAAAAAGAAAAAAAAAATAGTAAAAAAAAAGAGAGAAATCGGAAACGAGTTTCGTCTGGGTTTTGGGGCTGTTCTGCTGAGCGCGCGCGAGAGAGAGAGAGGGAGAGATTTCTCAACTCGGCTGAACTTCGATCGATGAAATTGGATCTCTTCCTAACTCCAAACCCTCCTGACTGAAACCATATTCACAGAACCCACAAGATTTAGACAGTGAGGGCTTCGATTCGTATCTAATCGCCAAAACAACTGGTACTTCCTTCTTTTCTGATCTAATTTCTTCTAAATTTTCCCCAAAACAGAATGTCTAGGGTTCACTATCTGACAATTCGTTTGTTTTGTGTTTGACTTTCTAGCATTTGGGCTTAGTTAAGGCATTGTTTGGCTGCGTTTCTCATTTTTTTTTAAGCTATAGCTTTGATGGTCTCGCATGGCACTGTCTGGAAATCTTGTTTGTTTTTGGATAATGGGTATTTCTAATTTATTTAATTGTGTCTAAACACCCCCTTGTTCTATACATTTGACAGTTGAAGCAAGCTACAGTTTTGCAGTGCTGTTGTTTTGGGACTTTTGCCTTTAACAATGACTCCAAACACCCATTTGTTTCTCTAATTTGATATTGAATTTGCATCACATGATCTAATAGAGCACCTCACCTTGCAGTTACTATCGTTTGCCTAATTTTTTCTTTTTTTTTGAAAATTTAGTATCTTGGTATTGTGTACATATCTCTGAAACTTAAATTCTAACAGGGACACATGTTTTAGCCTCGGTTTCAGAAAATTAGGTAGAATAATAAAGTATAACATTGTTGGTAAAACTTTCTCATGGTAGATTTTATGGTAAATTGTGGGAAGAAAGACTATTTTTTCTCCCTTGTTCTCTAGGTACGTTTGTTGTTTGAGGCTTTAATCACAGCAAAATGTCTGGCACTATCGGGAAATCTTAACTTTGAACAATGGCATTTGACGTTTCTTTGCTTTTAGAATTCTAATTATTTGAGTATCTGAACATGCCTTGCTGAACAAATAAGCAACATGGACAGTTCTTCGAAGTCGTTGTACCCATGTTGGAGACATGCGTCTAACACACCTTTAAATGTGTCCCATTATTATTTAAATTTTTTAGTTCTAGACACGCTTTAGACACTTCGGGGACGCACGTGCCCATTGCTTCCGTTGTTTGGACGCATATGAAACACATCATGAAGTTGAACAAAATAACTAGGATACAATGATAAAAGAAAAACTACGTAAATTTGCACTTATTAATTCTTGCTCTTTTAAACTTTAGGAATTAGTGTTATATTACATATTTTTATTATCTTTGAATGAAATTTATATATACTAAAACTATGTATTTTATGTGCGTCTCCCAGGTGTGTCCTGCATTTTAAAAAAATCCGTGTCGGCATATACGTATCTGTGTTTCTTCGCTACACAATTTTTAGTTTTTGACATTGAAATCATGAAACTAATGTCTGTCTGTTTTGGAACGTTTCCACGTGACAGTGGCTTTTAATGGTAAAAATTGACTTGCATGAATTTTATACTAAAAATATTTTTTTGATTTTTTTGGTGGCAATTCTTTAGTTATGTAATGAGCTTTGGAGAACTTGAGTTTTCTCTAATTAAATAGCAATCCTACTAAAAGTGCGATGCAAAATTCTATGAAGTCAAATTATTTTTCATTGATAGTGCTAGCAGGTGCTTCTGCAGAAGTCTTGTTCGATAAATTAACTCTTTTTTTTTCTTCTTCTTTTTATATGTTCGCTTGCTCAATAAAATTTTGTAAAATAAATTGAGATGTATATTATTGATTGATTTGTGTTGATATCAATTACAATGATTCATGATTCCTATATATAGAAGAGGGTGAGTGTGTAGTAGGTAAGGAGTAGGTGAAGTGGAGGTGGTAGTGGTGTAGTGGGTTAGGTTTAGTGGAGTAGGTGAGGTGGTAGTGGTGTAGTGGGTTAGGTTTAGTGGAGTAGGTTTAAGTGGGTGAAGTGAATTTTAACAGCCCCCCGCAAACTCAAGGAGGATAGAAACTAACCAACTTGAGTTTGGAGAGAGGAACAAAACAAGAAAATACATAAAAATAAAAGAGGATAGGAGACACTGTATGGTCGTGTCAGACCATTGGTGAAGACACTGGATGGTGGTCATAACGTTGTAGAGGACACTGTATGGTGGTGTCATAACGTTGTAGAGGACACTGTATGGGGGTGTCATAACGTTGTAGAGGACACTGTATGGTGGTGTCAGACCGATGTAGAAGACAGTTTATGGGGTCATGTCGGACCGATGTAGTGACCCCATAAACTGTCCCGACATTGATTCCAGTTAGCTCCTTCATGGGTCCGACAAGACTCTGTAAACTGTCCCAACATTGATTCCGGTTAGCTCCTTCAAGGGTCCGACAACACTCTGTAAACTGTCCCGACATTGATTCCAGTTAGCTCCTTCATGGGTCCGACAAGACTCTGTAAACTGTCCCAACATTGATTCCGGTTAGCTCCTTCAAGGGTCCGACAACACTCTGTAAACTGTCCCGACATTGATTCCAGTTAGCTCCTTCATGGGTCCGACAGATGAGATCTTACAGGAGATACCCGTAGTGTTGTGACAGTTTACGGAGTCTTGTCGGACCCTTGTAGAAACTAACCGGAATCTATGTCGGGACAGTTTACAGAGTCTTGTCGGACCCTTGTAGAAACTAACCGGAATAGAAGACACTATATGAGTGTGTAGATAGGCTGCCCAAAAAATATACATGTAGATATATATCGAGCCCTCAAAAGTCGTGCCCTCAAAAGGCGTGCCCACTTTATCAAAAGATGTGCCATGAAACGGCGTGCCAGTTTGTCGGGCGTCAAGAGGCGCGCGATGCGCGTGGCTGCCTCGGCTATTTAACCACGACTGAGCTTGAGGCCGAGGCAGAAGCAAAAAACCTGTGAAATCCGCTGAAAAACTCTTCGTTGTGCTGAGAGAGAGAGTCTGAAAAACTCTTCGTTGTGCTGAGAGAGAGACTCTGTAATACGCTGTTGCCCAGAAAATGGCTTCGTCGTCCCGTGGGCTGCTCACTCTCTTTCCTGACTTGAACGAGTCCACAGGAGAGAGAACGGGTGCGGTGTCCCGTGAACCTCAACCAAACACCACTGGGTTTGCTCCGTTGAACTTTCCGATGCAGTCGGTGGAGCAAAAAATGGCAGTGCAGTCGGATGTGGAGGCCAACCAGTATACTTTAAAGACATGTGTGGAAAGCATGACGGCGGTCACAAACTTGTCGAACCGGCTGCATAGTAGGACAAATGAGGTGCAGCATTTAAATGCCCAACTGGCTCTGCTCCAGCGCATGTATAAGGATGCGCGAGCAGAGATAAGTGTGCTAAAGGCGGAAAATAAGGAGCTGAAGCGGAAGGCCACCGTTATGTTCCGATTTGGAGGTCCGCCATATGCTGTAGTGGAGGAGGTGAGGAGAGAGAGTGGGTGTAAAGTGTTTGGTGGTAAAGTAAAGGGAATCATGGAAATGATGAAAGTGGGTTTAGTGGATAGAAAAAGGGACCAGAGAGATTGAATTCTTTGCTGCAACTTTAAAATCGCATCTTTCTTACTATTTTGTTTTTCTTCTAGATCTTGTAGAGTTGCATCCAAACGTTTCAATTCAGCAGAAATGTAATCAATTCGCTTGCGGACATTCGCATTGGCCTCTGCTAAATCCTGCTTCACGAGTACAGGTCCTATCAATTTGTACACATTCGCATCTTCATTCAACAAATCCAGCTCCTTGAGGACAAGCTCGTTTTCGCCGAGCTGGATGGTGTACTTCTTTCTGACCTGATGGTTCTTTGCGATATCTTGCTGGTGGCGACGGGCTTGGGACGGTCGGAGAAGACGGCGCCGTTCTGAATGAGGGCACGGTGGGCGACGGAGTGGCTGCCGACGAAGATGGCGGGACGAGACCCAATCTGGAGGGTGACGATGGGGCCGTACTTAGCCCGGAGGTCTCGGAGGATGGGTTCGAGCTCCGAGAATGACTTCCGCATCCAGAGGAAGTTTCTGATCACTGGAACAGTGGTGGGTCGAGGTCGATATGCATTTGGAAGAACTCAGAGAAATGTTGGTTTAGAATTGCAGAAAATTTTCTAGTGAAGAAAAAAAAAAGGAAACTTGGGGCTGATTTAACTAGGCTGTCTCCTGAAGATCTTACTAAGGCACTTGGGATAGTAGCTCAGAATAACCCAAGCTTCCAAGCAGCAGCTGGGGAGGAAGCACATGCAGAGTGATCAAGGTATGTGTAGAGGTCCCAATTGGTTGAGGTCCGGCGGGCGGGCAAGGCAAGGTTGCCGCCCGCCGGAAGGGTAAAAAAAACTTGTATGTTTGGGATGACTTTTTGGCTAATTACGAAAAGATGTGCAAAAAGTAGAGAGAAAAGAGAATCTTTGACTATTTGGTATGAGTTGTTGGCTTTTTGGCTAATTTAGTAACTTTTTGGCTAATTGGCTAAAAAAGTAAGTCTCCAAACGGGGCCTTAATGGTGAAGTCACTACATAAATAGCATGGTGATCGTAAAATTGAGTAGATTCTAACATTGTTCTTATTAGATTACCAATTGCCTCAAAAGATTAAGCTACTAGGAAATTGGCCCAACAATGTATATCAAGCTAGCTATTCAACACTGCTCCACATGTGCAACTCATCTTGCAATAATAAATAGAACATGGAACACAATAACAAACAATAAGGAGAGCAGAAATAAATATTGCAAGAGTTGAACCCTAGACCTCCTAGAACCAAAGCTGTGAAACCATGTTAGATCACCAATTTTATCAGAAACTTAAGTATTAGGAAATTGGTCCAATAACATACATCAAGCTATCCAACAATTTTAATAAGCAATGACATCTATCTAAATCTTCATTTGAGCAAAATAGCAACCATTATCTACATAATAAATAGTGTTAACAATGCTTTCTTTCAGTTAATATATAAAGCAAACCAATTTCCGCGTTGAAACATAATATGACCTCAACCACAGGTTGGTTTAAACCTCAGTAAAGCTCTCTACCTTCAATGGTTTAAGTGGGTGAAGTAGGTGGAGAGTATGTGGATTTAGTGGGTTAGGTTTAGTGGAGTAGGTTTAAGTGGGTGAAGTAGGTGGAGAGTATGTGGGTGTAGTGGGTTAGGTTTAGTGGAGTAGGTGAGGTGGTAGTGGTGTAGTGGGTTAGGTTTAGTGGAGTAGGTTTAAGTGGGTGAATGTGTAGTAGGTAAGGAGTAGGTGAAGTGGAGGTGGTAGTGGTGTAGTGGGTTAGGTTTAGTGGAGTAGGTGAGGTGGTAGTGGTGTAGTGGGTTAGGTTTAGTGGAGTAGGTTTAAGTGGGTGAAGTGAATTTTAACAAATTTTCTAACCCTCTGGTTTAATAGGTTTTAATAGATTTTCCTTCTTTGGGTGGCTTTAATGTAATTTTTTGTGGAAGATAAATAAATAAAATATGTTTTTGCTAGGTGATAAGAGCATCCGCATCAGCCTCAGCAAATTTTGAGTCAAATTATAATTTAAAAAGCCATTTTTTTATTTAGCTAGTCACCCACTACATCAAACTCTCTATTTTAACTCAATCCTATTAAAATATTTGTTATTCTTTTTTTTTTTATAATTAAATTGATGACCTATCAACCAAACAATTCTTATGTTTAAAAAAAAAAGTACCGTTGACTGGTTGACCTGCCGGACGTCCGGTTACACCCAAATCGCGTGTTGTAGCGATGAACAGTTCCTCGTTTCATCAGACGAGTTACTGTAGCAAATTTAACAAAAAGTTAATTTAACAAAAATTTGTTGAGACTGATGGAGGGAGAATTTGATGATTTATTAGTTATATTTTAACTTTTTGTTATTTTAAAGATGCTGATGCTGATGCTCTAAGAATGGAGTTTAAACATGTTTTTTCTTCTTCTTTAAATTGTAGTTTATGCTTATATACATACTGGCAATTTCACCCATGTTGCATGTGTGAAACATCATATTTTAAGACTATATGAACACATAATGAATTTTATTGGTTATTGCTTGTTGGCGAGTATTTTATTTTTTTATTATTTTTTTTAATTGACTGGTATTGTGGATTCATGAAGGGGGGGGGGGATTGTGGGAGGTGGTTATATTTCAAAATTATATTTTGTATTACCAAATTTATCCTAAAAGACAAATTAAAGAAATTGATTATTGTTTGACCTTGAAGGTTTTTTAGGAACAACCAAAACCGGTTAAGCTCATGGACACGAAATGGAGTGTTGCCTGTATAATAGTATTGAAGATATAGATATTGATATAGGTAGATGTTGTCAATTAAAGGAAACCCTTGCTATTACTTATTGTTGTCAAAGCTGACTTTAAGATACCGCAATTTAAATCAGGTTCTTGCACATACCATTCCAATGGAGCTGGTTTAAAGCACTACAGTTGGTGTGGTTGGTTGAATAATTAATCTCGTTATCTTTCTTAGGGTGCCGCTACAATGTGAACTTTTTGTGCACAACAATATTCAAACATGTAGCATACAAACATCCATATTCTTGGTAGGGCTGCAAACGTGTTGAGCCGAGCTGAGCCGGACTATGTTTATGCTCAGCTCGACAAATTTTCAATGTGTTCGAACTCGGCTTGAGTTTGAGCTTAACTATCCAAGTTCGAGGTCGGCTCGTTGGATATTTTCTAAACTCGAGCTCGGCTCACATTGGCTCGAAATCATAAAGTCGTTACCAAGCATCACACTTGGTGGCATCTCTCTGGTCACTCCTTTTATAAGTGTGAATGTGCTCCTTCAACTTGTCATGCAGCGATGTGGTATGGCTATCATAAGCAACACAAAAATTTGCTGCCAAACTATGTGGTCTTCTCACCTCTGCTTTGAAGTCTCCAGTCCCACATTGCTAAAGCAACTGACATCAAGTCCTTCGGGCCTTATAAAATTGATGGTCTAGCAAGCAAAAGAAAATGTCTAACAGGCCTTATAATAATATATAATATATATGTATTATTATATTATATAAATTAGACAGAAAGTAAAAAAATTGTTGCAATTATGCATGGCTCGCGAGCCTAGTTGAACGAGTTTTATTGAGCTTGAACTTGGCTCGATTATCAAACAAGCGTAAAATTTAAGCTTGAGCTTGTTTCTTTGTCAAACGAACCTAGCTGAATGAGCTGAACGTGCTTTAAATGAGATGAGCTTGAGCATGTTCATGAACAGCTCGTTTCATTTTCAGCCCTAATTCTTAGTGGGTACATTAATAAATACGTCAACGATCTCACTGCAGTGCTTTCTTTCTGAAATTGGCAAAAAAGAAGCTCTTTTTTTGTTCATTTCTTTTTCACATTGCTGTAATTGTTTGCTTATATAATTGTTCTTTGTGAAACCAAATTGGGCAAATACATGAATATGTGTTTGTTTTAGTAAGTATCTGTTCATTGGATTCTCTTTGAATCATGTGCTACCATTTGAGTTGCTTTATCAGATGTTGCCACTTATGTAGGTTGGTACTTATTGTTGCCTACTTCCTCTTTTGCTCTAGTAGGGATAAACATGAGGAGCTGCTTATTTTCTTACTGGAAATAAAGACATGTTTTGATATTATTCGGTCATCAGGAATGGATGTTGAAGTTGTTGAAGTTGATGGGGGTAAGAGAGAAAACAATGGGAAAGCAAATATTTCACCTAATATGGGTGAAAAACAGGGTAGAGCTCGAAACTCTTCTGACAGAGATGCTCCCAATCAGGACGATGATGAATATACAAAACCATATGTTGGTATGGAGTTCGAATCTGAAGAAGCTGCCAAGACATTATACGATACATATGCCAGGCATGTGGGTTTTAGCACCAATGTTGGTCAGTACAGCCGTAACAAGCCTGATGGGCCAATCATTACTTGGGATTTTGCATGTTCCAGAGAGATTTTTAAAAGGAAGAATGTTGAAAGCTGCAATGCTATGCTTAGGATAGAGAGAAAGGATCAAGACAGTTGGGTTGTAACGAAATTTGTGGAGGATCATAACCATTCTACAGCAAGTCTTAGCAAGGTTCATTACCTTCGACCTCGGAGGCATTTTGCTGGGGCTACAAAGAATGTGGTTGAAACATTTGATGGCCCAAGTGATGTTTTTGTCTCCATGGATGGAAATCATGTGTCTTATGATCCTAACCGTGGACTAAGGGGTGCCTCCCCTGTAGACACAAATTGCCCAGCTAGGAGTTTTGGCCCTGTAAATTATGGTCAACCCTGTATCAGAAAGAGAACCCTTGGGAAAGTCGCCCAGAATCTCCTCAACTATTTCAAGAAGATGCAGGCTGAAAATCCTGGTTTCTATTATGCAATACAACTTGATGATGACAATCGCATGACTAATGTTTTTTGGGCTGATGCAAGATCAAGGACGGCTTATAATCACTTTGGTGATGCTGTTATTTTTGACACAATGTATAGACCAAATCAGTTTCTGGTTCCCTTTGCTCCTTTCACTGGTGTAAATAATCATGGTCAGATGGTTTTGTTTGGCTGTGCATTACTTTTAGATGAGTCAGAGTCTTCCTTCACTTGGCTATTTAGGACATGGCTGGCTGCAATGAATGATCGTCCCCCCGTTTCTATAACCACTGATCAAGATAGAGCCATTCAGGCTTCAGTTGCTCGGGTGTTTCCAGAAACACGCCACTGCATTTGCAAGTGGCACATCTTGAGAGAAGGCCAAGAAAGGTTGGCTCATGTATATCTTGCTCACCCTTCTTTCTATGGGGAGCTGTATAGCTGCATAAACTTTTCCGAGACAACTGAGGATTTTGAATCATCATGGGGATCTCTCCTTGATCGATATGATCTTCGGAACAATGAGTGGCTTCAAGCTGTCTATAATGCTCGGCAGCAGTGGGCTCCTGTTTATTTTCGGGGCACTTTCTTTGCTGCACTTTCATCAAACCAAGGAGTTAGCTCCTTTTTTGATGGGTTTGTGAATCAGCAGACCACCATACCAATGTTTTTTAAGCAGTACGAAAGAGCTTTAGAAAATTCATTAGAAAAGGAGATAGAAGCAGATTATGACACAATTTGCACCACGCCAGTGCTAAAGACACCATCACCAATGGAACAACAGGCAGCAAACCTCTATACCAAGAAAGTTTTTGCCAAGTTTCAGGAGGAATTGGTTGAAACTTTTGTGTATACTGCTAATAAGATTGAGGGTGACGATGTGGTCAGCAAATTCAGGGTTGCAAAATATGAGCATGATGACAAGGCATACATAGTCACATTGAATATTTCTGAGATGAAAGCTAGTTGCAGCTGTCAGATGTTCGAATACTCTGGCATTATATGTAGACACATATTGACTGTCTTTACAGTAACAAATGTTCTCACCCTTCCATCCCATTACATATTGAAGAGATGGATGAGGAATGCCAGAGTTGGCTCTGGATCGGAGGAACATGATGCACATACCCAAGGCATTGAGTCTCTGACCTCACGCTTCAACAATCTATGTCGGGAAGCCATTAAGTATGCTGAGGAAGGGGCGATTGCTGCAGAGACCTATAACACAGCAATGAGTGTTCTGAAAGAGGGTGCGAGGAAGATTGCTGCGGTGAAGAAAAATGTGGCTAAAGTTACACCTCCCTCTCAGGGCAGTGGAAGTACTCAGGAAGACAGTAACAAGAAGAACCCTACATCACCTTCCGATATGATTCCACCACTGTGGCCCTGGCAAGATGCGATGCCACATCGCTTTAATCTTAATGATGCTGGAGTTCCTGCTGCTGATTTGAATCAGCCCAGCATGGCTCCCATTTCTATCACCCGTGATGGTGGTCCTCCTGATAACATGGTATGGAGTGTGATCTTTTTGGCGACATGTTTAATTACACATCGAATATACAGATTTGTTGTTTTGCAAGTGCGAATAAAATCAAGAATGTTGGTGATTGCTTCTTCTAATTTTCTTTTGTGTTATGTATAGGTGGTGTTCACTTGTTTTAAATCCATGACTTGGGTCATTGAAAATAAGAATTCAACACCAGCCAGTAAAGTAGCTGTTATTAACCTGAAGGTATAAATGTTTGTCTTAAAACTTTTATTTTGTATTTGTGGAGAACTTGGATAACTTAATGATCCTACTGTCACATTACTCTTATGTTTTAAGATGCATCTCTATTTGCTTTAATCTGATGCTATTTTAATAGAAGAAAAAGTGGAAACTGGTGCATCTCCAGTCCTAAAGAGCTTATTTCATCATGAATATGTTTGTACCATATCATGCATTGTATAAAACCTTTTAAAGAAATTGGGGTTGGTATATTGCCATCTTTACTCGTCAAGTGTTGTTATCCTTATGCACAATAAGAAGTATATACATGGTACTCTAAGATGGTGCCCTTTATTTTCTTATTGTAGTTGAATAGGAGCCGTTTTCGTATTAGTTTCACTTCTTTTTTCCTGAACTGCAGCTGCAAGATTATGGAAAGACTCCTTCAGGAGAAACAGAAGTGCAGTTTAGACTGACAAGGGTTACACTGGAGCCTATGTTGAAATCCATGACTTACATAAGTCAGCAGCTCTCAGCACCAGCTAGTAGAGTTGCTGTTATCAATCTGAAGGTATGCATTTTGTGATTTTGTAGTCCATTTCTGCTACCTGTATTTTTATTTATTAACACGTTCATTTTTTTTCTCCTTCTCATGCTGTATCTATATGACCCTTTGTTTTGATTTGTTCAAATATTAGAATTTGAGATCAACTAAGTTGCTGAGTTTTTGTTTTATTTGTTGTAACTTCGTATGGTATGGACTTTATGCAACAATCAAATATAGACACAATGGCTGCAGTACAGCATCAATATGTGAGCGTACAACAAGTGAAGACGTTGCTTTCTTCATTTGTTTTTATTATGCAAGAAAAGGAAGTGCCACTCAGATTGTGTGGTGGTGGCTCAACGCCTTTGCACCAGTTCGGACTATGAACCAGTTACTAGGATTGATATCGATTGATTCTAAGAGATTGTAGATGCTGAAGATGAGGAATGATGATAATTATCCGTTCATCTGTCTTTATCCGTGCTACAAGGGATGTGTGCTTGAGCACTTTTTGTGTTGGTGATGGACTCTTAGGGCTTCTTCCCCTACCTTAAAAAAAGGAGAGAGAAAAACAAGTGATTGGTGCCTCTGTCAATTTGGTTAATATAGTTTTAATTGTATTTAGTCTGTTTGGTTTAGTTTTTAAAAATTGTTTAAAGCCAAAATAGGTGCCTCAGTCTACTTGCTCTTTAGTAATGTGAAGCTCTCCTCTGCATCGTTGGTCCACGGAAAGACACCCTTCATGCTGTCTGTAATTTGTGCCATTATGGTGATGCTTGCCTTCTCTACTGTTATTTTTTTTTTTGCAGTCCGATGATCGATGACCAGGTTCCCCACATTTTTAGCAACGTATTGTTGAACCACAGGCAATTTTTTTTTTGTGTATTAGGTGCAGTGGCGTTTGGACAAGTTGCTGCTACTGCTGCAGAATTATCTCTTTCCAACTTCTATCTTCAAATATGAAATTTTCCCATGTAACTCAACTTAGCTAACTGAACTCAATCTATTGGAATGATATTGACAACATATGACCAAGGGGTAAATTACTCATTTTTCTTCACACTAACTGCTGTGTTTTTCCTTGTGTTTATCAGCTCCAAGATACAAAAACGACTACTGGAGAAACAGAGGTGAAATTTCAAGTTTCAAGAGAGACACTAGGCTCTATGTTAAGATCAATGGCCTACATTCGTGAGCAACTTTGAGAATCTGTAAGCATTCTCTTCTAGATATCATTGTGATTGTTTGAAGTATGATTAATGTACCAAGACATCACTTCTCCCTGCATTTGAGGGAGCGATTTCATTTGCTGTCCAGGAAAAGTTATTAACTTCCCTATTTGAGGCTTAGATATCATTTATGGGGCCAGTGTAGTCAAATGTGGGAAAGTGCTTCCAAATAACTATGATTCCATATTGCCAGTTCCTTTTGGCACTTTGCAAAGTGCTTTGTGAAGCAGGGTGTTAATTTTCAGTATTGATTAAAACTGTGTCTAGTTGCTGAGAAAAAACAGACGAAAAATTTATATGCATATTAGATTTGAAAACAATTTCTGTATGCTTTACTGTGTCTCAATTAATAGTGGTAGAAATTGAATTAGTAGACAACAAAAAACAATGCATCCTTATGAACATCGCAAACTAGCATCTTCAAATGAACCAATGCTCGTCCCAATATTGCCTTTGCGGTTGAAGCCTTTGTCCTTGTCTGTTCTTACGCAAGCTTATTCAAATAAAATTGAAGTAGAACTTGATATAATGATTTATGATGGCATGATAGTTGTAACATGTGTATGCACTATTCTTTATTTTTCTGTTGTTAGTACTTGTTATTATTTATTGAATAAGCAACCTGGCCCAGAAATTTGTTGTGTGCTTCTGTGATTGATACTGTTACATTCTTTTTGCTTTGATATGTAAATATTTCAAAGTGAGAGTACCACAGTGTGTAATACTGCCATTTAACCATGACATATTTGAATTGATGTGAAGTATTTTTGTTGCTAGTTTCAGATTTGTTAATGTTGATTGTTCTGTTCGACTCCTCGTCTAGTGGGTTTTTCTAGGAAACTTAAGTTTGTTAAATCCTATCTCCAAAAAGGAAAAAGAAAGATGAATATAGGTTCTACTTACAATAGCTAAACTGAATCATTAAAAACTGCTGATTTTTTTAGTTTTTTATTCTGATGGTACTAGGTTGTAGTGTTTCCCAACGAAATTTTGCTTGTAAGAAACTTTTGGTGGATTTTGGGTGATGGTGGGATAGGATAGCATTGTTGCTGGGAAAAAATTAAATGGATGGTGGCATGGTGCTAGTGCTCAAAATTTGATATTTCACTCAAGTTTGTAGTCCCTCACTTCCAAAAGTCCAGGAGTTTTGTGTCTTTGGAAATTAAAGTCACTATCAAGCTACAGCAGAGGGGATGGTTAGGGGCGGGCTTCTGAATTAAAGTAATAACCAGTACTTCTAGGGTACTCTTGTGCATGCTTTCTGAACTGCACTCACTGCCTCCAGAGACTAGGTTTATGCCTTTAGTTTTAGGTACCAAGCTTTTGGAAGAGAATTAGAGCATTGCAGGCATCAAATTATCATTACCATTAACTTTAGTACCCTCCCACACTGGCCTGGGGGAGGGTGCGCATGTGCCTCTCTGACACAGAGAGATGAACATGCTTGGTCTTCCTGTCCTTTAATTGATTCTAAAATCTTATTTGGATGACATTTCCACCCTTGTAAAGATTGTAATATAGTTTCTGTATTTTTACTAGATAAGTCTATATTCTTCATATTTATTCCTCCCTTGATAGAAGAAGCGAGTCATTGAAATGAGTTCACAGTAAAACTACTAGTTTGACAATGCCCCCAACCTTTTAATTTGACAATCCCGTTTTTCAACATGCAACACTTGTATTTCCTGTCATTTGAATCGAAGTAAAACTGCTAGTTTTTCTGGTTTAATATAAAGATATGACCAGGAATTTAAATTTTTTTGACCTAAAATTATTATTTAACAAAATTAAACTACCAAATGATGTTTATACCCTTACAGAACTTTTTGGTTCAAATGTTTTTATTATTTTTCTTGCATATTAAATGTTTTAATTTGGTGAGAAAATAAATTTCAATTTTTTTTAATAAATCTCACCAAATTAAAGCATCAAAATGATATTTTTTGCCTTCTTATCCTTTTTCTCTTATTTTTTTCTTCTTTAATTTGGTGTTTTTACTTGGTGAGAAAATAGTTCTATTTGAAAGAAGAAAAGATTGACCTTATGCGTGTAACTGTTAAATCATTAAGGAGGTCCCACTTTTGTCTGTGAAAATGATATTTGAAATACATGGGCTCAAAATGAATAAGGAACTAACTAGTCAGTGTGTGCACTGTTAAAATTCACCTACTACACACCTACTACACACTCACCTACTTCACCTACTCTCCACCTACTACACACTCACCTATTCTCTTCCCACATCCTCTCTTCTATATATAGGAATCATTGTAATATAACATACAACAATCAATAATACATCATTTTTAACATGGTATCAGAGCAAGGTTAAGCACTTAGTATTTTCCGCTTCACCGGCGGGCGGCAACCTCGCCTTGGCCGTCCGCCGGACCTCAACCTAATCTGCTAGAATTTTCTACACATACCTTGAAATTTCTTCAAGTCCACCACCACTGCCCCTCCTCCAGAGTCTCAACTAATTTCTGCACTCTTCTCACCTGCATTTTCCTCTGCAATTTGACATCCCCATCGCCTATTATCGCATCCAGTTTAAGCAGTTGATTCATCAACTGTTCAGTCGGATTCAACAAATCCTTCTCTGCAACCTTTCCACCTTTTGTGACTACCGATTCAAGCGCAGACACCTGGCCTGCAAGCCTATCAACCTCCAAACTGATATCGGAGATCGATTTGGAAGCCTTCTCCATCGTGGCATTCTTTCGCATCTCAAGCTTCTGATCCTCGTGGTGCAGCCCTGTCGGCTCTGTCATCATCTTCTTCAATTCCCCGAAAGTGGCTTGAGAGCTGATATTGATTTCGTGGTAAATGGACCGGAATTTGACTCGGACTCGGATGGTGGGCGGTGGGATGCGGTGTTGATCGGAGTCAGTTCGCTTCTGAACCAGCATTCCGCCGGGCCTAAGCTCCTACTCTCCTTCTCCGCCGCCGTTGGCCGGTGAACTTCCCGTCGTCATTCGCATCATCTTTTGATTTCGTGTCGGATCTGTAGAGGAATCTGAGAAACCCATCATCGGAGACCCAGTTCTGAGCTTCTCCATTGTCGAAATATCAGATCTCTCTCTCTCTCTCTCTCTCTCTCTCTCTCCTCTTTCTCTCTCTCCTTGTGGGGAAGATTCGAAGAAGGAGAGAGAAATTATAAAAAAAAAAAAAAAGAGTGGACAGCCAACACAAGAATGGAACCGCATCTGCCACCGTAAACACCCTGCCTGTCGTCGAACCAGTGTGTGCTCAACGACGACGATCCATACTCTCTCTCTCTAGAATCAGAGAGTATTTGCTTCGAAACAGTGAACCCTGATCTTGGTGGCTGAATCGTTGATCACAGAATTGGCCCAGAGCATCTTCGTCCTTCTCACTGTTCAATATCTTAAAGTTACATCCAACATAATCATCATGTACCCCACTCTCTCTTTCTCTCATTTTTTTCACTTTCCAACCCACCAGCGCACATGCTTTCCTCTTTCATATCTTATTGTTATTATTATTATTATTAACCCAAAAAAAAATAAAAATAAATAAATAAATTAAAAAAAAAATATATATATATATATACCGAACCCCATTACCGATTTTCACAAAACAGTGGACCAAGATATCACGTGAACCACTTTCCTTCTTTCTCCCATCTTTCATTTTGATTTCAAATTTATTCTTATTATTTCTTTTTTTATTTTTCTTTCACATTATTTTTACTCTTTTGCAAATTCCATTCATACCATATAGCTTTGCACACCAAACCATCTTTTATTCATGTCAGGGATCAACCCCGATCATAATTTTACACACAAAAAAAAAAAAAAAAAAAAAAAAAAAAAAAAAAAACACACAACCCCACAGAGTCTAAATCCCAATTAATGCAGTGAGTACACCAACCTGTCACAACTCAGCCTAATTGAACTATTTGACTAAGTTCTTATGAGTTTTCTTGTTCTTTTCAAGCCAAAACAAGAACAGCTCAATCTTGAAATTTCATTTCCTTCACTTTTTCTTAGAAACCAAAGTCAAATTTATATATAGTTTTCTTTCAGCTATTGTAATTGTGTTCTCTACTTTAGCTTTTCTTAGAAAAATTTGAAGCTTAGCCCTTCATTAGCTGAGCCAAGACCTGCAGATTGGTGTATTTTTACCCTGATAATAACTATGCTGCTTTGCCTGCCATACCATGTGTCGATTTTAAGCGTTGCCGATAATTCGCTTAGTATTCAATCAGAGCAAGGTACCTTGAATTTGCAGTTAAATCTGCATGAATACATACATACATAGGTGTATATACTTGTACATCTACACAAATGGAAAGCTAGCATGCATTCCTATATATGTTTTGTTATTTCCAGTCAAATGCTGCAAAAACTGAACCAAGAGGAAAAAAAACGTGCTCTTTAAAACTAAAAAACATACTATACAAAAATCTAGCATTCCAATTGATATTGTCGTATCAAGAATTAAGTTTCATGTATAACTGTAGACGTCCCCGAACGTCCCGGGAGAAATCCCGTTTCGTCCATTGGGCTTACTACAGTTCGGACTCAATGTCACGGTTTTGAATCTAATCTCGCAAAGTACAATGCAAGATCGATAAATCACCAAAGAGTCCAAATTCGGCAAATCGTTTTGAAAAACTGATTTTAGAAAGAAGTGCCAAACATGGACTACTTTGCCAGATACAGAGTCGCCACCTAAATATTT